ATAAACATTCGAAATTGTTTTTATAAAATACTTTAAGGTTCAAGTGCTCTCAAATATTTTGCCCAAAATTAACCGAGGCCATCGACAAAAACCACTTCGAAAATTTGCAGTGGTTTTGCGTCGTACAATGGAAAACATCAAAATTGCGCGTTGCTAAATTTAAACAACGACCGCAGCCTATTTATAAACATTTAACAGAGTTTACGCGCACACACACACACACACACGCACACAAACATTCGAGTGTGGGTGAATATTCATGGGTTGCACATCCGCTTGTGGCACGCCACAAACGCTGCGGCAAGCCCTGTTGCAATCCCCCTCCCCCCCTTCCGACGCGTGCCTACCGCCGTGATCGGCCGACAGGTGTCGCTCGATAGACTTTTTCTCTTTGCCAGCCAAAAAAAAAAAAAAACGTATGCAATCAAATTTATGAAATACGCCAAATAAAACTTACCTTAATCCGCTTTAACATCATTTAATATTAATGCCGTTTCTTTATCTTTATTTCGATACTCTTTCTCTTTTTCTCGTACGAGCACAAATCAAAAAGGAAAAAAAAACACACACACACACGCGCGCAACACAACAGCCGCAGCTCGGCTTCTGGAACACTTTGAATTCACAGACTTATTTATTCTTTTACAACATTTATATAATTACAATAGTATTTTATTAATTAATATTAACACATTGCTCATCGCGAGTATTTGCGAGCAAATTGATTATCAAAACTATTAATATGATTTCTTAGGCACGTGAAGAAGAAGAAACCAAGTGCAGCCATAACTTTCTTCTTAACTCTCGTGACGTTACAAAAAACTATTCTTATTAGCGTTGCATCGCGGGCGACCGAAAAAAAATCGTGACGTCATATGAGCATTTTTCTGATTTCGTTTAAGCGCGGCAAAACCCACAGCTTGGCCCGCCATAAAAACTTCACGCAAAAAAAACTGAGCAGTAAATTCCTTTAGCTCACACTCAACAAGCACAACTCATTCGACTGCAGCTTAGCTGCAATATAGACAAACACTTTTTTGCATTTTTCATTTACACTATTTAATTCTTAACAAATTGCGAAGTTTCCTGCGCGTGCTGCCAATTTAACTGCGTAAATTCCGGAGCAAGCAGAACTGTGGAAACGATCATTGAGGAGAGCTGCGTAAAGAAGAATGCACTAAGAAGTGCCATTGCAAAATAATGTTCAACGCTCACGCAGCTTGTGACGTCATAAGATTATTTTCCTTATTAGCTCTAAGAGTCGGTTTCAGCCATATTGGCAATTTATGCCCGAGCAGTCAGAACTATCGAAACGATTATGAAGAACAAAGTAGTATCGATAACATTTTGTCAACTCAAATGGCAATGACACCTTGTTAACCTGCCTAACTCTTGGAGACTTCTTTCTCTTTCTTTGATGTTTGTTCATTTGAGTCTTCTCGAAAGGGTTGCTTAGACATCGCCTTTTTTTAATTGTTTTCGGCGCGTGGGTGTGCAACTAACGCGTGTCTGGTGAAAGGGCAAAGGTTAACACGGCACGAGGTTAAAGTTACGCATCGATGACGCGCGACGCGTTGCCTTTGATGGGCGCCTAATTAGCGACAAGCCTGTGCAAATTGTTTGCTAATTGGAAAATTAAGATTTTATTGTGAATTAATCTTCAGCATAGAGATGAACGCGTGCCCAGATTCAAAAGCAGATAAATATCTATTTAACAAAACGTGCATATTGCAACAAAATAAATATATAGTAATAGTGTAGAATATTTTTTGTTTGTTTTATTATTTTTTAATAAGTGTCCGTGCGGTATTTTGTCAAGTTAACAGTGTTTCGTGATCGCGCTAAATAAAACCTTCTCTACTTCAAATTATTCACCTCCAAAAACACATCAGGTAAATAATTTTAGATTAAAATGTTAAATGGAGCTTGTCTTTACTGTGCACACATGTACATACACATGGCGCAAAGAGAAGAAACTGTAAAACATGGCACTCAACTGTAAATAACAAGAAATACAATTGCAGTTAGGTTTTATATGCAGGCACTATGAAAATTCAATTACTTAATTTTTTGCTCACCACTTCGACCGCCACACACACACACATACGCATACATACATACGCAAGCACGAACGCCATCTGGCATCTGCAGAAGAAATACATACGTACATACACAGCTGGACAGAGATAAGAAAAGAATATGGACGTGCATAGTGGCGCCACCTGTCAGCTCTTCTAAGCATCAGGCATTTGGCAGCAAAATCGCGCACACGCCCACCCCGACCCATACTAAATTACATAGAGAATTTTCACATTGCCGAGTAAAAAATGTGTGCGAATGCCTGGCACACACTAAAACACAGTACGCCAAAAAGAAGTGGAAAACCCATTGGAGAAACTGGAGTCTAAAAAGCATATACATATATAGCTTCCCACCTAAACCATCTGCACTCCGCACACATTTGCGGCTCTTTGCATGAGCGCGCAACTTTTCTTGCAAATCCCCAAAATATTCTGCCTTTGATTTCATGCTGGTTTTGCTTTTAGTTGCAATCTTTTTCTACCCTGTGGGAAAAAAAAAACAAGGTACGCAACTATCGGTTGTTAATGTGAGTGCAATAGTTTTTTCGCGCTCTCATCTCTATCGAAGCTGTTCGGCTTTTTGTGTCTCCTTTGCTTTGTGCACACTTTCCTTTTGTTTCCTTTTTTGGTCGCGCTGCTGATGCAAGACAAATGCGTGCGTGGGCGCTAAAGAGTAAGAAGCAAGGCAAATAGTAAAAGAAAAGGGAGTATAGTAGAGAGAGAGCGAGAGAGAGAGCGCGCATTGAGCGCGCTTTTTAGCTTTTAGTTGAATAGAATTTTATTTGGATTTGTTCTGCCTGCATGAGTGTGCTCACATATGAATGTGTGAGTGTGCCTGCATTTGTGTGCGTGTGTGTGTCTTAGGTGTTTGTGTTTGCTGGACTCTCTGCTGATTGGCAACGAATGAAACTAGCAAAAAAAAATGGAAAACGTCTTCGACAACCGTTAAATTGTACAACTTAGAAAGCAGCCTCCCGATCAAATAACTTATCTTTTTGAATATTTCACAATTCATGTATTAGCCCCGGAATGTATGCTACACATGAAAAGCTTGAGGTTCGATCGAGTAGAAAAAGTAAATGCCAAACATTTCATTGATGGAAATGCCAAATGAAATTATGCGTCATTTAGGTAAATAAAAATTTGTACACTCATTTGCATTGGCTAATTAAAAAAAAAAAAAAATATGCCTTAACTAACTTAGCATAAACAAGAAACATGATAACAAAAGGGAGCCGACTAAGCGGCATTTTCCTTTTTCGTTTGTTTTTCGCAGCGAGAAAACTTAATTATGTTGCATTTATTACATGAAATAAACCTCCTGTTGCCTTTCATGATAATTACGCAACCAAACACAATATAAAAATAAAAAACAAACAAACAAACAACAAGAAATAACCGCAACTACTTAGCAACATTATACACTTCCGTGCAGCTTCCAAAAAGCGGCCAAAGCGTAATTATTGTTGCGGTAAACGCCAGCCACGCCACGCCCCTCAAAGCAAACCGCCGCCCACAGCCAGCGCCCACCCACTCGTGACCACGGGCCGTGCTTTTTAATTTCTTTATAGAAATGCCGGCTGAGCGAGCGAGCGAGCGAGACGGAGCGTGAGAGTGCGAGAGTGCGAGAGAGAGCGCAACATATATGACAACGTGCCGCGAAAATTAATCCATTTGCTGTGACAATGACTTTTATGCGGTTTTGCAGCAACGCGGCCGCCACGGCCCAGTTCGCGGCCAGGAAGCCGGACAGTCGGAAAAAGTCAAGCCGCAAGCCAAATGCGGGCATAGGGCAAAAAAAAAAAAAAACCAAAAACAAAAAAAAAAGAAATGTTCCGGAACAAAAAAACCAAGTTGGGTTGCTTTACAATGCCGCGACATGTAAATATTTGGCGACATTTATAAAATACAAAAAAAATAAATAAAAACCGTAGCACAGCTCTGGTCCGAGTCCCGTTCCCCTTCCCGGCTCGGGTCCGTGTCCGGGTCCGGGTCCGTGTCCTTGTCCGTCGTGTCCTTATCAAAGCAATTATCTCGAAGATGGCGTCGCCGCCCGCAAAGTATTTCGGCTTTCCACAGTCTTTGTTTGCACTTGGAAAACGTAACGGAGACAAAGCACACAACATTTCTCTTGATTTTCCCCGCCGAGCGACGGATTTTGCCAAATTCCAAATTGTCAATGCGATGGTCAATTTGTGGCCCACAGCCAGGAGTGGAAAAATGTGGCAGTGGCAAATGAAGCTAGCGAATGCCTTTCCCGCCCAGCACCAAGTTAAAGTGAGCTGATTAGGCGGCAGATGGGAAGGTGGCTCTGGCAAATAAATGTGAGCTAGATATTTGAGAGCTTTTAAGTTAATATGAAGGACATTTCTATTGCTGAGGTTTGACTTTTCAAGGGGAAACTTTCCCCCCTCGAAATTAAGTGAGAACAGTGTCAGGATAAATAGTTAAATGATGTTTCGATTGATATATAAATGGGAAAAGCTAGTGCCCCTAAGATGCTTTGGATAAGAGATCAAATTACTTGCGATGGGATATTTTTTAACGTTATTTAAACTTGAAAACATTCCGATGTAGAATTATAAAGTTCCCCATAAATGATATAAATCAAAACACAAATAATAGATAGTTTGGGATATTTACTTGATATATATAAAAATGATTTTATTTTTTAGAAAATTTTTCAAAAAAGCAGTAAAAAAACATTGCTCTAAAGTATGTTTAAATAGAACCTATAATTTCCAAGCAAATCTCATATCTTTCCAAGTCTCAGTTTCTGCTCTCTTTAAAAAAAATATAAATATATTTATATTCATACAAAAAACTCGTTTAAAATATATATATATATATATATATTAAAAAAACTTAATTTTCATATATATCTCAGTAAATGTAATAAAATCGTTTATAAATTCGTTACATTTTATTGGCACACTTATAAGTTATTATCGCAAAATACTTTTCACAATTATTTACACACAACTCTTACGAAAAAAAAGAACAGAGATCTCACAGTTTAACCAAGTAAATTCTGCTTAATGCTTGCCCAAAAGCCTTGGCCCCGTTTGGGCGTCAGCTCGTGCTCAATTTTCTTATTATACTGCTCCCGGAGCAGCGGATCGGAGGGTCCCCAATTCTTTTTGGGCTTGAAGGCGCCGCGTATCTTCTCGCGCCACGTATTGCCCGGCTCACGAATGATGGCAACCAGCATCCAGAAGGGCAGCTGCATAACACCAAAGGCAGTGATGGTCCAGCCAATGCCTGAAAGGAAGCGAAGAAAGCGGAATGTGAGCGTGAAGGATTAGGTTAGCAGTGTTGGGAAGCACCAGATTTACCGTAGGCCCAGGCGGGATATGGCTGCTTGTTATAGGTGAGCGGCTCGTAGGTGGCATAGAAGTATATCAGGATGACGGTCATGATGAGAGGCGTGAAGATGCCCCAACAGAGGCGCCAGTAGAGACCGACCTTGCGGCCCAGCATGAACTCGATATCCTTGCAGAGACGATCCGTGCCATAGATCCAGCCAATGGTATACAGCTCTGCAATGCCCAAAACCAAGGCTATCATCGAGGCGCCAAAGAAGTCCACCAGTGTCAGCATATACTGACCGCCCTGTAAGGAATAACAAGATTCCGGTTGAGCAATCCAAATCCAATTCAGCAAATCTTACCGGTGTTATGTACATCAGACCTATGACAAAGCTAACGACGGCAATGAGCAGGGAGCATTGCCATTGCTTGAAGTTGGGAAAGCGATCGCGTATCGCAGTTACCGTGCAGGAGGTCATGGCTATATTGGAGCCAATGCCCAGGACGAAGAGCATGAGGAAGAAAAGTACCGAGAAGATCTGTGGCAGCTGCTTAAACTTGGCTATGGCATCGGGATACGATATAAATGCGAGTCCGGCGCCACCTTTGACCACCTGGCCAATGTCGTCCGTGCCGATCTCGTGCGCCAAGTGTCCCAATATGCCAAAGATGGTGAAGCCGGCCAATAGAGAGGTGGCCGTATCCAGAGCAGTCACAATGGTCGCATCCCGATGCACATTGTGACCGAACTTGTTGAACGACGAGTACATGATGATGTTGCCAAAGCAAACGGACAGCGAGTAGAAGCATTGCGTGACAGCCGCATACCAGACCTTCGGGTCCAAGATCTTGCTCCAGTTGGGCTTGATGAAATACCAAATGCCATCGACAGAGCCAGGCAGGGTTACCGCACGCACCAGCAGTACGCCCATGACGACATACGGAAACAGGGCGAGAAAATAGGAAGCCTTGCCCGAGCTCTTGACGCCGCGCCGTATGATCAGAAAAACGCACAGCCAGGAGATTAAGAGGCCAACGACTAGCTCCCAGTTGGGCAAACCAATGCCATCCGCAATCTGGTCCTTCTCGCGCAGCACCTCCTTACTGAGAAATGTGAAAAGTTCAATTGAGTTGGGCACAAAAACCTGAGCCAAAACCAACACCTCTAGAGTTTGAGACTAGATCTAACCCAACTAAGCCCAAAAGAAACCCAAGCACTTACACATAGTACAGCTCCGAGCTGGATATAATACGATCTGATTTATTTTCTACCGAATTTTGTCCTCCCATCCAATTATTGGGCGCCGAGTCGATACATTTTGCGCCCCATTCCACACGACACGTTGCCCAGGGCAACGGACTGTGGAATGAGTCAACGAAATACCGACAAAATATGGCCACCAGTGAGGCATAGTAAGTGCTTAGCATGAACACCTGGAATGCCTGGCCAACGCCAACACCTTGATGATATTGGGGGTAGGGAGGAAAGAGTTAATCACAGATCAATTAGATGCCATAGCCAAATGTTGGGTTTGGGAACTTATGATGGAGACATGAGGTGATGCTGAGTCTGAGCTGAGATATTAGTTGAGTTGAGGAAATGAACGTGTTAAGTTTAGAAAAAGTTTAATTAAACCACAATTTATTAATATATTTTCTTAATACTAAATTAGAGACTTGTCATGCAATAATTCTTATGTACCTTTGACTATTCGTAAGAGTAAGACAAGAATTTTATAATATACGAAATGTAGATAACATTTTCGTAAAGTTCTGAAGTTAAGACCATAAATAATATGCAACTAAATTATAATAATTATAAAAAAATCAAAATGATTAATTATTTTGAAAACACGTTTATAGTAATTTTAATTTTTTTAAATAATATTAGCCAATTGAAAGAAAAGAAATTGTCGGGAGGAAGAAATTTGAAAAAAAGTCCAGGTTGTGGATCGATTTTGCCTTGCCGCGCACATCTCTAACTTAAGTAAAACTAATTTGTGGATTAATTTAATTGAGAAATTAAGAATTATTATTTGTCAGGTATTCATGGTTATTCCCATAACAGATGTGCGACTTGAGGTTGTACCCTTGTTCCTTCCGTCACGCTTAGATGTCAGTTAATTGAACTGGCCTTGCAACGCGTCGCATGTCAGCTATTGGCTGTTGCAATCGCCCAGGGTATATTGCAACATCGTCTAACCTCAGTGGTCAATTGCTGTCAATTTAGGCGCCACAAGGGCGGGGCGGAACAGCAGATTTGTTGGTCTCGTAGCGGGACTCATTCAATTAATGTCGCATGCCAATAAAGCGAGCATTGAACGACCATAAACTTGAATCTGGCACTGAATGCTAGAGTGTGCCGCGATAAGATTACCACAACAAGGCACAAAAAAAAAAAAAAAAACAACCCATGCCCCACACACAGGTACACAAAGAACAACAGCACCAGGAACCAGCACTAACAACTAGATTTGACAATAGGTAGAAAAGCCACTTACATAAAGTACAGCTCGGCGGATGCGACGGGCTGCTGCTGCTGCTGCTGCTCCAACTGGGGCCCAAACGCATTTAAGCTGGAACTCGGATTGGAGCTAATGTTGCCCCGACTGGAGGCCACACACTGAACGCTGTTGCCCCAATCGGGACGACATTCGGACCAGGGCAGCGGCGAACGAAACGAATCGTAAAAATAATTTAACGTAATACCCATTATTCCTACGTAGTACGTCGTAACAAGCGATATCGATATCACCTGTCCAATGCCAATGCCTGCGAGTTACGATTCGTTGTTGATGACAGTGCGTTATGAATATGATAGATGAGTTGTGAATGAATAACATAGTTCGTTTAATAACGATTGTGAATCATTCCAGTAGTTATTTAATTTGATATAATAGCTGTGCATAGTGCTGGCCTCTTGATATCAACTATAGTCATTTGTCGATACATATTTCATTTTAATTTAATTACAAAACCTGGGCTTATGGACGTATAAGCCAACCTGGCCATTTGTTTGCAGCTTCCAGAAATGTTTATCAATCAATCAATCAATCTGCTTCATCCAACAAATAGTATAGATATATGCTTGGAGCAGTTTATGGTCTGTTTCTTTGAGTTAGTCTTACAGCTTGATAAAACTTACGGACTAAACAAATAACTAAAACCTATTCTTAATTTTCGCTTGCTATTGGACTTCATCAAGTGCATCTAAACAAATGCACAGCTATTGTATTGCATTATTAACTAAACAATATTCATATACACTTGCAGTTGGTTGAATCAATCATATCAATCAATCATATCGATTTTGGCTTCTAAACCTTTAACTCTTAACACTCGGAGATGATATAGCAATTATTTATATGCTGATTAGGCTTTTAGCTTTTCATTTTGCTATTCTAATAAAAAAAAACAATGAAAAATAAAAAATGCAATAATATTTAGTATCAAATAATAGGTATGTCTTCTGGAATATCTCATAAATGAATAAGTAAATAAATAAGTTATTCTTGTGTCGTGATCAAGCTAATTTCAATATTAGTCAGCTATCTTTGTTTACTTCAACTCGTCTGAATCTGAATTTTCCATTGCCTAAGTAAAGGGTATTCATTCATTGTCAAGCAATAATAATTGAGATATTGTTATACACAAAGCAAAAGTTTACACAGAACTGTACAATAACGAGTTAATCTTAATGCAACAACAATATCGCTCAGAAATGATTCATTATATGGAAATTCAAAATTGTTAACTATCTTTAACCAAAACTAACAATTAACTAACACTTGTCACACTCTTGTTGCACATTTAAACAAAATCAATCAATTACTTATTCTGGAATAGTATAATATGTTATTGTGTCATCAGGGCTGCAAACTGGGTTTGAACCATACTGGTTCGAACCTAGAGCTCTCTAGGAACCCAATCTTAAGCAAAAATATTAAACTAACTATAAGAATTATCTAGCCTAGAGATCAAATTTAGTCCACCTTTTCTGTAGAATGGGCGCTTATAAATAAATGAAAAATAAATTCTAATATTAAAATTTGAGCGAAATCAAGCCGAGCCAAGCTTAGGAGCTTGTAGAAATGTTTTTTTTTAAATCTTCTCTATTCAAAAAATATTTATTACTTCCCCCTAATTGAATTTCTTGTCAACTGTTTAGTTGATTCCATTCTCGCTGCAAGTGTATAGAAACTTCGATTTGGTTCGAAGTTGGCATCGATAATTTCCGTAAAATTTCGCTTACCTTTCATGGCTGGGCACAAATCGAATACCTTAACGGAACCGCGACTGGAAAACTGCCCAATTACCATTTCCAGATAGTAAATCGGTTTGCCAATTAGGAATAGCACAATGAGATATGGTATGAGAAAGGCGCCGCCGCCATTGTCCAGCGCTGTGAAGGGGAATCGCCACACATTGCCCAGCCCCACGGACATTGCGATACAGGACATTAGAAACTCCACGCCCTTGCCCCAGGTATCCCGTTCGCCCGGTCTCCCGACCGATTTGCCAGCTTCCTGTTCGGCCTCCGTCTGTGTCTCTGCCGGCAGCGACTATGTGTGCGTGTGTGTGCGGGGAGCAAACGATTAGTTTTGGGTCATTCAGATTTCGGCCATAGCTTTTCTGGCCACTTACCGACATGGCCAACGTGCTGGTGGTGCTCTGTCCATCGTCGCCCACAAACGCTGGATTTCGCTGCGACATTTTCATTCTGGACTCGGTGTATTATTCGAAAGAGCTAGAGAGAGAGAGAGAGAGAGAGAGATAGAGTTCTATGAGCTGCGGTCTGACAATTAACACTGGTTGTTATTTTGGTAGATTTTCAGCGGAATTGTGATCATAACAGAGACACGCCATAAAACTGACAATCAGATAAACCGAGTACAGATAAAAGCAGAATATGCGAGACTGCCCGACCTGCAGTTGCCCCTTATTTTTGTTTTTAAGTCATTTTGTTGTTATGTATTTTGCTTATTTATTTATTGGTAATCTGTCTAAGGACAATAAACAAACTGCTTAGAAATTAAAGCATGAATTTTTTCAGCTCTAATGAACTTAAACAATATATTTTGAATTGTATGTTGTTCATTTGTGCATATACCAAGAAGCACCTGATATAGTTCTTAGGGTCAAAGGATTTGCAGGATTTCTAGTTGGAACTGTTTGCATTTCCCTATTGCTGCAGCGTATATTCATACTTAATTCCACTATCATCATTTCTTACATTTGTTTGCGAATGTAAAGTATGTTGCCTGTACGTTTTTCTAGTTCCTAGGCTAGTTCCTCGATCAACATTTCTTACATTTTTTGCGAATGTAAAGTATTAGCCTAAGTCCACTATCAAAATATATTAAATTCTTTGCGAATGTTAAATTTTTGCGAATTGTGAAGAATTAACCTAATTCCACCATCAAAATTTCTTTCATTTTTCGAAACTTTATGTGAATGTGAAGAATGTTGACTGCACGTTTTCCCATAAGAATCCACATTTTTCTCCTTGTAGAGACAAAACTTGTTCTCTTTTTCTTTTGTTTCGCATTTATAATCTTGTTGTTTAGGCTACCATAAAAGTACAGTTTATATTTTTTAGAAAAAAAAAACAATTCGAATATTCTTTATTTAAGAATAAAGTATATCCCCTGGTCGGTGACAGCCGACTAGAACGCTTCACATATTTTTGTATTCATTGAAGGGATTAAAATATAAATTGTATCTTTGAATATGGTCGACTAAGCTCTTATGTTTTTATTGATCAAGATCTAAATATATAATTAAAAATAGTTATATTTAAATTAAACCATTTCTGCAGGTACAGGGTATTTAAATGATGTCACCTTCACAAGCTAAATAGCTGAGCGATAATTATAAGATAAAGGGCGGAAACAACTTTGTATTTGCAAGTCACCAAAAATGCAACAGTTTATGATTGGCAAAGATCGCATGATAAACAAATTATAATATTTGCCTAAAGCAAAACAAGATAATCTCTTGAGATATTGTTCTGCACATAGCAACTGCTGATAAATGAAGTTAGGAAAGCAATTGCAAAAGATATTTATAAATGAGAAAAAATGTTAAACCCTTTTCGACATTTGCCTTCTGAAAATATGTGAGAATTATAGAGCTCGCAAATGCAGAAGATATTTTCGAAAACAAAAGATTTAGCCACATGGGAAGTTCTCTGTGTCAGATATATGTAATAGTTATTCGAAGTTGATAAGATTTGAAAATATGTGGGGAGCATAGTGCAACTTTTAAATGCCGAGTTTTGTCCAGATATTTTGATAAACATATAAGTTGTAATGCAAAAAATGAAGTCAGCTTATCATGCCGCTAAATTCTTTTGTTAATTCAATGAATAAACAAAGTGTCATTAAAATTATGAAATGCACTTGACTGATATCTCGATAAGATGTCTAGAAGTGTTAAATACAAATCAGAGTGTACACAAATTAAAATGCAGTCAAGTGTTATAAAACATGTCTAATAGTGAAATTTACTGCAGTGTGCGGCACGCAAACAATCGCTTAGCCACAAATTCGAGCACTTCTATAAAGATAACGATCCCCAATTTAACTGGCCGAGTACTGCAGTTTTTGTTGATCTAATGATAAAAGAAACAACTCGCTCTGTTTGTGTATTTGCAGATTTGTTTAAACAATTAACAAATCGTTTCATTTATGGCGATTATTAACCTAACAATAGCCGGCTGTTAATTATATTTGGCAGAGGGTTAACAACTTTCAAAGCGGGTTTGTCAATTTCTCAGAATAATCGACATGTTTAGTCTGTTTATTGCTCTCTCATCGGACAATTAAATGTCAATTAAAAGTAATATATAAAATATATAATAATAACCGTATGAACTTTGCTGTTTAAGCGTCCAGTCCACAAATAGAAGGCCGCAGGTTCAAATCCAGATTTGTTTATTGAATTTGTTACAGAAATGAAAAAGTGATAATAAATTTGGGAGAATGGGCGGGAATTTAATCGACTTTGTAAATATCTGATAATGGCACCGTTTATTGACCCGGACGACGCCTGGTAATTTCTTCTAGTATCTCATATATATAATTTATCATACGGCTATGATAAGACTAATCGGTCAAGTCTTTACGATTTTGGATTGTTTTTGCAATTTGCGAGCTGAAAGAAAATACAATGCAATTGTCCATTTGCACTATGTTCAAGCGGAGACAATATTAACATTATATTGTATTTGGCTTTGTTAACGTATTTGGCATTTGTTTTGGCAGATAACAGAGTTTTTATGGAACCCTGCTCTTAAGATATGGTTATATCTTAATTTTAATTGCACATAATTGTCAGACGAGTTATCTAGTTAATATCTCCTCCAGAACCTTAATTTTGGGCTAATTTTGTACACAACAAAAATCGAAATATAATTTACGTATAATTTGCTACTAAAAACAGACTTTGTAGGAATGCTCCATAAAACGTTTCGAACTGCCCAAGTATTTGCGTTTTATATGCCCTGCTAGAGGGTATTATAATATTGTGATGGCATATGTAATGCATAGAGGCATCTCCGACCTCATAAAGTATATATATTATTTAAATCGGACCACTTTATCATATAGCTGCCATAAGAACGAACTGTCGAAAATTAGGTAGTTCTATGATATTTTCTGTTCCAAAATCAGCATTTGTTAATAATACTATGTTCCCTACATATATGGTTAATCTTTTCAACATCGGGCTTCTATATCATGTAGCTGCCTTAGGAACGATCGGTCGAAAATTAGTTTATTGTAAGCTTTTGTGTTTATCAAGGAATCTTGAACATACTCGACATCTATAAGGTCATATATATAGCAATACTTTTTTACTACCTTTTTGTTGTTTTCTTTTCGAAAATAGAGATTTGCCTTGTTACTTGTGTATAATTCAAATTGCAATGGAACATTTAAGCTCTGAATAATAAAGATATATTGTAACACCTTCAAACCATGGTCAGGCTTTTCAATTCAACTCTTGCAAGCTTTGAAATCTTTGAGCCCAAGCTCGTAACATTCAAATATTCACAGTCCGCTTCCCAGGTAATTATAAGTAGATCAGGGCTAGGGCAATGCTCGCCAAAAATTGCAAGATAATGTGAATATAATTAATTTAACAAGCTAATAATAATTTGTAAGAAATTTCAACAAAACGAGCGCTGTCTCAAATAGCGTTAACAAATTCCTACACAAACAAACAAAGAAAGTAAAAAACAAAAAAAAAACCACATGTACAATTGGGAAAAACAGGTTTTTAATTCTGCTTAAAATGTTTTTTTGTTTTTTGTATAATGAGCAAAAGAAGAAGCAGAACAGAAAACAATGTTAAATCAACTTCAGTTGATGAATCAACCGAGCTGAAATTATGTTAAATTATGTGGGCTTTCGAGTACCATGCTTCGAAAGATTCTCAAAACTGACGTCACTTTTGGCATACGAAATCAGTTAAGAACGGTTTTAACTAGTTTCAAGCCGTAAGACTTGAAAGTTGTTCGGACCACTCTAGAAACGGATGTAATGCGAATTACTCTGAGCGAAGTTTCGTTTAATTTCATTTCTTAAGGTACTCGTTTATTTTTTTTAAATTCCCTTCCAGTGTCTTCTTAAATATGTGAGTTATTTGATATTTTTTTAAAAATATTCTCTTTTTTATAATATTTTATATATTATTTATGCATTATTTTGCTATCTATCTATCTAAATTTATGTAGAGCATTTGTATTAATATTATAAAATATTTTTTATATTATTTATATTATTATTTTAGAATAAACTTATTTAACTCCAATTAGATGTGGCTGATCCATTTGATGCTCATTATTAACGATAATATTTGTTTCATATTTAATAGACCCCCCTCCCCCCCACCCCTCCTGCTGGCCCGTAAACCAGTTCAATTGACGCTTGTTAGTTTTATAGCGCCCCAATATCCGGGGCCTTGCATTAGTATGCAAAAACGTGTTTCATGGCGTGCTTGTTACCCGCGTCTCCAAAAAAGCCCCCCAAAAAAAAACTACATAAATACAAATATTAATGAGCATGTTGTATACATTGCGTATACGTCACAAGCCAAACACATTAATTTAAAAAAAAAAAAGAAGAGAATTTACAAACCACATTTAAAAAAGAGTCTTTGAAAGCCGAAGTTTATATACTCTCTGTTTCTGTTCGACGTGCTTTGGTTGAGAAATTTAAGCCAGAATTGGTCTTTACCAAGGAATAAAATTCAATATTCTATATGCGACTTTATTTTGAATAGATGACAGATATTAATTATGCAATTGATGTACTTTTATTGATTCTGTATCTTTTTGTCAAGAATTGGCCAGACTATAACACAAAAGAAGTGTATATATAGACTCCATGATTTACCAAATGTAATAATTGCTTAACTAATGAGTAAAAAAAAAACGCTTTAAGTTTGAGAAAAGTCTTTAGACAAAACACGTTTTAGCCGTTACCTAATAAAATTAAAATAATTTAGAAACTAAATGAAATTGTAATCAATTGTAATCAAAGCCCATTAGATTGTTAGAAATAGTCCATTCTTTTGTACAACTTTGTCTAGTTTTTCATTTTTGTATCTTTAATTTTATAAATTTATAATTTATTATTTAATTAATTTGGTTCTCTTTTTAAATATTAGTTTTTGACGCTTATATCTTATTCTGTTTTAAGATTCATTGCGTATTGTATTCTTATCAAAACTAACCTAATCTATTACTCTAATCTATACGATGACCTTCTAAGAATTGCCTTAAAAAAAGTTTATACTTCTTAGAAAGAATTCAAAAATCAAATATTAGATCTATATCTTTTATATATATATATATATATTATAATGTTGTTTAATGTCTGAAAAGCATTAAAGAATTGAACAAAAAAAATTTGCATCAAGCAATTGTTTAAATAATGTAATTAATTTAACTAAATGGTCAAGCCTCACGTAGAGGAAGCTATTATTCAATTAATTTAATTAAAGTGTTAAGTCACATGTAAAGTATTAAATAATGCTACACTTTTTGCTAATAGGCAATTAAGTATTTATTTTAATTTTATTTTTTATTTTAATTTAATATTTTTTTATTTTTATTCAATTAATTTTGCTTCTTTTATTTTAATTCAACTTTTTTGTATTTTAATTCAATTATTTTTTATTCTCATTCAACTATTTTGTATTCTAATTAAATTACTTTCCAATTTAATTTAAGTATTGTTTATTTTAATTCAATAATTTTTTTTTAAACTCATTTTCTAACACTTTGAAATAAAATTTTGTATATGCTAAGCGCTATTTGTCTGTTAAATTCACAGTATATTATATAAATATATAATAAATATGATATATATATAATTTTTTCCATTTTTCAATATTTATTTATTAAAATAAAAAGTTAAAACAAAATCGGAAAAAATTATCGATGAAGAAATATATGGAAACAAATTGTTTTCAATTTTGATTTTAATAAATTAAGCGCCGGACCTCGAGGCAGCTAATTATATTATAATAAAAATAAATATATATATATATAAATTATATATATATAAATATTTATGTATACATATAACTAGTTTATATTTTGGGGTACACCTTAATACTCTAAACATTTAGGGTTCAGTTTAAGCCCATTCAATTCGACCAGCTGAAGCTTTTGTTAAGTCTCATCAAAGCCAATTAAAACTAACCTTAGCGAAGCATTTTATGCTGGGCTTTTTTGCTGTCAGCGTCAGTTGTCCCTGGGCTTGCAAACCCCTCCCCCCCTCCCACACTCTCCCCGCCATAGGCATTGCACAGTGGGCAAACGAGTCACGCGCTTGCGCAGCTGCTGCAATGGACCGTTGAGAACTTGCTGGGCTTTACCTGCACTTTAACAGTTAAATGTAACTGTTGTTGTTGTTGTTGTTGCGCCTGCTGATGTCTAAAGCTTCCGCTGCTTGACTTTAAGCTGCCTGCGTCTTCTTCTTCTTCTTATTTGTCTTTAACTTGGCTACAATTAAGTTTATACTGATTTAATGTGGTTGTTGTTGTTGCTGTTGCTGTTGTTGTTGTTGCTGTTGTTGTTGTTGTTGTTGTTGTTGCTGCTGTAACTGGCAGCCAGTTGTAACCGCTTTGAACCGGCCAAAAACAACTTTGCTTTGCTTTTATTCAACTTTAACTTTTGGCCCGCACATTCAAGGCTGATCTCTTAGCTATTTCCCAACTATACAAATTATATAATTGTTAATATTTTATTGCAGAATCATCTTCAGATCTCTTCTGAACGCTGCTGCTTCTTCTAGTTTTGCTGGACACTTCCGCGAGACACTTTGACGCGCACGCAAACGAAACCGAAATTAAATGCCGAACGTAAGGAAAAAACCCGTTATTATTACTATTACTATTACTATTATTATTGTTGTTATTATTATTATTGTTATTTGTGTTACGTGCGTATTAATTGGCCAAAGCCGTTAAGTGAACCGACGATCGCTTGGGCAAAGCGCCAGCAGCCAACTGAGTGAGCCAAGGCGCAGCTCGGAGGGTTTTATGGCGAACTTGACTTCAGCCGCGCACCGTGGGATGTTTTTCCATCAAATCGAACAAAATTATATTTGCCTTAATAATGATAAAGTTAAATAAGCCTAATTTGCCTCACGAAAAACGCTTGAAATTAAAACTTAACAAATATTTAAAATAGTATTTGGTTAAACAGAAACAATATTTACTATATTTAAATGAATAGTAGTATATATTAAAATGTATTAGAAATCGGTATTCCTAACAGAAAATATATAAAGGTTTATTTTTGCAAGGCATACAAATATCCATGCTCTTGTTTTTATATTAAACTTCTACAAATGCCATAAATAATTATAAACCTGATTTTGAGTGTGGCTGCTGCCATTTTGTCCCACTGTGCCAGGCAGCGCAAACCCGCGTCGATTGTTGTTTTTTATTGTTGGCTCAAAGACGTCGGCAGGGCAAATCACGAAATATGGGTGAAAGCTTTGCGCACGACGCAACAGCTGACGGGTTCGTGTCGCGGCTAAGCTGATCTTATACAGAACAGTTTGGGGGCAACTGTTGACTGAATAAAAATAACTAAAATCAATTTTTTAACTTGTTTAACAATAGCTAATATAAATCATTTAAAAATAATGCAAAAGTTTTTACAAAAGATTTGTTGCCTAGACCTAAAGCAATTGGTTATGTGTCTCGACTAACTGATCTTCTACGTTACAGTTTTAGAGCTGCTGCGCGTGGCTTTAAAGGCTCTCAAACTATGAGAATATCTTATATTTAAAGTGTGAAAGTGTCTCAAAGAAGTGCTTACAGTTTGAGAGCTTTTGTGCCTGAGGTTAATGTGATTTAGTTTGAATAATCAAATGATCGATTTCTCAACTGTAAGCTATAATTATATATACACATTTCGATATTCATATCTATATTCATCTTTATATCTTTCAAAATCTACATCTTTAATTCTGAGCAACTATCTCGTGCTTCTTCTTATTTGTTATTTTGTTTTGTCAAGTTTAGTCAACTTAAAAGAAGCTTTCGTATTTATTTCTTTAGCCTTGTCTTGGTTTCTGCTAGAAGTTGCACTTACACTTTTCTCATTAGGCGCAGGGCAATACACACACACACACACACACACACACTGACAAAAAAAGTTGCTTCACTATGTGGAACACTTGGTCCATTGTTCCTGGACCGCAGTACAACACAAATTGTTATGATAAAAGTTTTTATCAAGTTTTCATATTATTTTCGGTTGTTTTTTTTGTTTCATGTGCTTCATCGTATTCTGTGTGCCGTTGATATACCATATAAGATAAAATGGCGACCAGAGAGAGAGAGAGAGAGAGAGAGAGAGAGAGAGTGCGAGAGAGAGAGTGCGAGAGAGAGAGAGAGAGAGTCAAATAACTGGGCAGCTGTATGCAAAAACAATGCCTCGGGGACGGCGCTGCCTCATAAAATTTTAACTACTTGCAAAAATACTGCTAACTGGTAAACTTTAAGCCAAAAATCATTAAGTCTGCAGCCTGGACAGTCACTAAAAGAGTTTCCACTTCAAGACTGTGCAAAATGCCAAACACAGACAAATCCAGAGAGGGCGAGCGAGCGAGCGAGAGAGAGAGAGAGAGAGAAACTTGATTTTAGCTGTGCTTGTTTTATGCTAACAAATTTGTTGCATGGCCATTTTGTGGTTCCTCCGGGCGGGATTGACTTTCATCTACATCCTTGGTATAAGACTGCCCTCTCTTCCAGCTGTACGCTGTTTGGTATTGTCATTATGACTGCCACTGGACCTTGGAGACACTATCAACCAAGCCGTGGCTGGATGTGCAGCGGGCAGGGGAGACGCTGGCAAGTTTGGGGAGTGTGGAGCATGTGCCTGTCTACTCTTACGGCACTCACAACTTTTTAATTGCAATTAAAAACTAAGCAAAAGACTTTTTGCAACCAGCAGCCATTTTTGGTCGCACATTTAATAGCTCAGTCGCTGCAGAATAATATATATAATACTTATTTTTGTATATTTATATAAGAATAACGGCTAGCTCATTTGCAAAAAGCCAACAATTAATAATTGGCTTAAATTGAAAGCAAAATAATATCTGAAATTTGTATTATTAATATTAATAAATATTAGATTTTTTTCTATCTTGAGCAATTATTATAATTAATTTTGTTGTTATTGTTATTATTTATTTATTTTCTTGTAATATTATTATTATTTGAATGTTACTATTTTTTAAATTTTATTATTATAATTATTATTATTCAGATATTATTAAAATAATTTATATTATTATTAATTTTATTATCATTATATTTTTTTTTTATTTCATTTATAATTATTATTATAATAATTATTTTTAGTATCACTATTAATATTGTCATTATTATTTTTTTAGTTTAAATATTATTTTTGTTATTATTTTTATTATCAATATTAATGTTGTATTACTATTATTCTGATTATTATTATTATTACTATTGTTATGTGCATAATTATTTAAACTTTTAGTATTTTAGTATTATTATGCTGATCAAGAATATATATACTTTATGGGGAGTTGCTTCCTTCTGCCTGTAACATTTGGCTTAAAGAAAAATCCAAACTTCGTGAAATCGGATGAGATTTGGCCGAGATATGGGGGTGGTAACTTTTGACCCATGTCTATATACGAATCTTGGGATAAGATTTGGACATGAATTTCGACTAAAAAATCGGTGTGCAGATATGAATGCCAGATTAATCTAGAGGGAAACCCATGAAGAAAAATCCAAACTTTGTGAAAATCGGATGAGATTTGGCCGAGATATGGGGGTGGTAAATTTTGACCCATGTCTATATACGAATCTTGGGGTAAGATTTGGACATGAATTTCGACTAAAAAATCGGTGTTCAGATTTGAATGCCAGATTAATCTAGAGGGAAAACCATGAAGAAAAAGTCAAACTTCGTGAAAATCGGATGAGATTTGGCCGAGATATGGGGGTGGTAAATTTTGACCCATGTCTATATACGAATCTTGGGGTAAGATTTGGACATGAATTTCGACTAAAAAATCGGTGTTCAGATTTGAATGCCAGATTAATCTAGAGGGAAAACCATGAAGAAAAAGTCAAACTTCGTGAAAATCGGATGAGATTTGGCCGAGATATGGGGGTGGTAAATGTTGACCCATGTCTATATACTAATCTTGGGGTAAGATTTGGACATAAATTTCGACTAAAAAATCGGTGTGCAGATATGAATGCCAGATTAATCTAGAGGGAAAACCATGAAGAAAAAACCAAACTTCGTGGAAATCGGATGAGATTTGACCGAGTTATGGGCGTGGTAATTTTTGGCCCATATCTATATACGAATCTTGGGGTAAGATTTGGACATAAATTTCGACTAAAAAATCGGTGTTCAGATTTGAATGCCAGATTAATCTAGAGGGAAAACCATGAAGAAAAATCCAAACTTCGTGAAAATCGGATGAGATTTGGCCGAGATATGGGGGTGGTAAATTTTGACCCATGTCTATATACGAATCTTGGAGTAAGATTTGGACATGAATTTCGACTAAAAAATCGGTGTTCAGATTTGAATGCCAGATTAATCTTGAGGGAAAACCATGAAGAAAAAGTCAAACTTCGTGAAAATCGGATGAGATTTGGCCGAGATATGGGGGTGGTAAATGTTGACCCATGTCTATATACTAATCTTGGGGTAAGATTTGGACATGAATTTCGACTAAAAAATCGATGTTCAGATTTGAATGCCAGATTAATCTTGAGGGAAAACCATGAAGAAAAAGCCAAACTTCGTGAAAATCGGATGAGATTTGGCCGAGATATGGGGGTGGTAAATTTTGACCCATGTCTATATACGAATCTTGGGGTAAGATTTGGACATAAATTTCGACTAAAAAATCGGTGTTCAGATTTGAGCGCAGATTAATCTAGAGGGAAAACCATGAAGAAAAATCCAAACTTCGTGAAAATCGGATGAGATTTGGCCGAGATATGGGGGTGGTAAATTTTGACCCATGTCTATATACGAATCTTGGAGTAAGATTTGGACATGAATTTCGACTAAAAAATCGGTGTTCAGATTTGAATGCCAGATTAATCTAGAGGGAAAACCATGAAGAAAAAGCCAAACTTCGTGAAAATCGGATGAGATTTGGCCGAGATATGGGGGTGGTAAATTTTGACCCATGTCTATATACGAATCTTGGAGTAAGATTTGGACATGAATTTCGACTAAAAAATCGGTGTTCAGATTTGAATGCCAGATTAATCTAGAGGGAAAACCATGAAGAAAAAGCCAAACTTCGTGAAAATCGGATGAGATTTGGCCGAGATATGGGGGTGGTACGAGATATGGGGGTGGTCACGAAGATTTGGACATGAATTTCGACTAAAAAATCGGTGTTCAGATTTGAATGCCGGATTAATCTAGAGGGAAAACCATGAAGAAAAGGCCAAACTTCGTGAAAATCGGATGAGATTTGGCCGAGATATGGGGGTGGTAAATTTTTACCCATGTCTATATACGAATCTTGGGGTAAGATTTGGACATAAATTTCGACTAAAAATCGGTGTTCAGATTTGAATGCCAGATTAATCTAGAGGGAAAACCATGAAGAAAAAGCCAAACTTCGTGAAAATCGGATGAGATTTGGCCGAGATATGGGGGTGGTAAATTTTGACCCATGCCTATATACGAATATTGGGTTAGATTTGGACATGAATTTCGACTAAAAAATCGGTGTTCAGATTTGAATGCCAGATTAATCTAGAGGGAAAACCATGAAGAAAAAGTCAAACTTCGTGAAAATCGGATGAGATTTGGCCG